CCGTGCGCACACTCACACACACACACACACTCACACTAAGCGATGGGGCAATAATGTTAAGCAGTCAGGTTTCTTTAGTAGACGACAAGGCTCCCTGGTCTCCTCTCCTGCAGGCTCTGGCTCCAGTCCTGTCCACGCTGCAGCCTAACATGAAACCATGCCAATTAAGTACCTTGCTTAGATTCATCTGTGAGCATAATGGGCCTGTAGGCTGGTGCCATCTGTGCAGCCATGAATAGCTAAGAACTCAATATAAAAGCAGGCAAATGCAGACGGAAAGGTGTTATTTGGAGGTAAAATGTCCTCATGTTGAATGTTTTGTATATTCAGTTGTTTCAGCGTGTTGCTGTGTTGCTTTCCCTCGTGTTCTTTAATACAACTATTCTCTCTATAACATCTGCCAGCTGATAAGTAAAAGTAATTTATGTGAGTTCAAAATAAATGAGTGGATAAACACTGTTTCAGTTCATTGTACTTTTATTGCACCGGGGATAATTAGTATCAGTGCTGCTTTCCAGTGAGTCCTGGGTTGTGTTAATGTTAAAAAAAAAAAACAGTAAGAAAATTGATTAAATCACATTTAACCAGATTAGATGTGGTGACAATACAAAAAGCGAAGATGTTATAGGCTATATGATATAACTGTGGGTTAACACACAGCATTCAGTTACTTTCCAGTAAGATGATAGCAGTTAGGAGTTTTTTTGTCTAATATGTACTCAATTTCCAGTTTATAAGGTATTCCTATAGCTAAACATAATACATAAACAATAAGGTGATAGTGTTCAGTTTTTGTTTTTTTAGAGTGGTGTTAATTTAATTAATAATTCATTTTGGAGGCTGTAGTTTGTGGTATTGTTGAGCTCATTATCAACATTATAACCTCCATGAATGTAAGATTTGTTGCCGTTCTTTTGTATTAGACTGAATCAGTTTTTAGCCGGACACATTAAAGCTCATTTAAATAAATGGTTAATTATTACTCAGCTCTGTCAGCACTAATTGAGTTGCATGTTATTGTCCTCAGTCTGTCTGTGCTGAACTTCCTTTGCTGTCTGCTGTCACCAGTCTGCCCTCATGCACCTGCATGCGTGTCTTTTATTGTGGCTTTGTTTCTATGTTGTCAGATACTGTGGTTTTCATGTCTGCGTTTCTGCTTTGCCTGCTAGTGTCTAACAATTCAACAGTGTTGTTTTATTAAGTCCATATTAATACCAATATCCGTAATTTTATTGTTTTGTATGTGCTCTTGCATTATGTATGAGGGTGTCCAGAATGATGCTTCTATTAACATTAATATTTTCTTTTTTTTTTATTATTGTTCTGCGTCCTTAGAAATCATTCGACTTTGAATGACTTTGCAATTTCAAGGTGACTTTGGTTACAAAGTCCATGCAGATGAAAAATAACAACCTGTCAAACCTTGGTGCAGCAAAGTTTTTATCAATGTGCACTGTCCCTGCTAAATAAACCAATAACAACAAATCAATAAAGTAAGCTAGGTGTATAATTAAATGCCTGACAAATTAAAGTCCTTTAACCTGTTGATGCAAAAATCATGTTAAAGTTCAGTAATGTCTTAAAACAAAGCTGCAAATTGTCCACAATGGTTTCACAGAACCAGAGATGTTAAAAGCATACTGTAGTTGACATAATACAAATGTGAATTTACAATATATATTGTCATATTATCCAATGTGGCCTTAATAGCTCAAATAAAACAGGATCTACATTTATTAGACTCAAAATGATAAAAAGCAGTTTTAAAGCTTCTTCAGGTGTCAATGTGTCATATTGGTTCTCAAAGGGCATGCTAGGTAATGACTTTAATCATTATTTAATGAAGTATTATCTATGGCCACTAGAGGCTGCTGTGCTACCATAAACAGACAGTGTCCTCTTCAGATTTAAGTCTATGCCTGGAAATGTGTGAAGTAATTAGAACAGGACGGAATAATTAAAGCTGTTAATGTATAACTATTAATGCAGCGCAACAACTGACAGTAAAGTATGTCCGTGACAAATGTGAGCAGATGTGTGATCTGTGTGTTTGATTGTACATCTTCCTGTGGCAAAACACAGTCTGTCTGCAAGTGTCTATAACTAAAGGAATAAAATAGTAAAGTAACACTATTCTTACTGTTAGTAACACTATTCTTACTGTTAGTAATTGTGAAAGGATCTGTGTAACATCTTCTCAAGGTGTGACTTTGTGCCACATTATGACACATTCGGCAAGTTGTTGCACTTCAAGTCTCATTTGGTACAACTGAGTCAGCCAGGATTCTTGTATTGACTGTAGCTCCTGTTTTCCACTTGTATTTATTCTAAACTAATGCTCTTACGCAAGAGAAAGCACACTGTGGACCCGTAATGTCCGTAAGCCTAGCGCTTAAAGCATCTCTCAACCAAATGTGCTGATTCCTGTCCCTTTTTCACAAGCTTCCCCCCTTACTGCTCAAGTAAATTCCTCTGCCCCTGCTCCACCCTAATGACCTTCCCATGTCCATCAGGCTGACAGCTGTCACAGGCCCTTCTGCTTTTTATGAGAGCCAAAAGTCTTTGTCTCCCATATTAGGATGTCCATCAATTTCGAGTGTTCTTGGACAAATCACACTGTCTTCCCTTAAAGGCTGGTTCACATTTTTTTCAAGTCTGTCTTAAAACAATAGTCAGGTTCCCATATGAACACGGAAACAGGGTTTTCTTGCTGTAATCATTCCTCCTCATCATTAAGAATGATTTGTTACAGTCTTTAGGTAGTTTTTTAAGGTTTAAAGTTTTTTTTATTTTTCAACCCCCATATATTTTAACACAAACATCTATACTTTCTACTCCTTACATTTTCAAAATGTTTTCAAATATCTTTTTTTAAGTTTTAGTGCATTTAAAGGGAATTATTGATTTCCCCCCGCCCCCCCACATCAAGACCGGTGAATATCACACAGGAAAGTAACATAACAAAAACAGACAAGCAAGAGACTCAACTCTATTTGAAGTTTCAGTTAACTTCAGATATCCTTCAGATAAACCAAGAAAGTACTTTTTACTTTTATACTTTGAGTACATTTTAGAGCCTGTGCCTTTTCACTTGTACCTGAATAAAGAAGTTGAATCAGTACTTTTACTTAAAAAATTGTGAAAAAAAATAAATAATTCTTGCTTATACACAAAAGAGCCATTGTGCAATGTAATGTGTAATATTTAGTACACATCCTAAATATACTGTCTGTGCAATATAAAATATACTTCTTATATAAAGTTTTACTTTCTGGTATTTTAAATTATATTTGTCATTTTATTCATTTGTGTGTTTTAATTAGTGTGTGTGATGACTGGTTGTCTTCTTGTGATGTATATATGTAATTGGTTCTCCTGAATAAATAAAAACTAAACTAATATGGAGAAAATTGAGGATTGTGCAGTATGTAAATGCCATAATACCTGCTGTAAATTCATTCTAAACAAATAATTATTCTATTAAAGTCTTCACTCCCAGGTCTTGTAAATCGGCATTTATTTCATACAAGCGCTTTAAATCATATACAATTGGTACAATGGGATATGTTTACTGTACTTGGGTGCAGAACACAGTTTCATTTGGAACACCATGTCCCCCTCACCATCCTAAAAATATTTACTGCAGGATGAGCCGTGGACATATAGCTGGTACTGCAACATGCCAAAGTGTGATTGATAGGAGAGCTCTCAGTCTCTGCTGCATGACAGCACAGGAAAAGTGATAGGCCTACTTAGCTCTTAAAGAGCATGAAGGAGGTGTGTGCTTTTTCATGCCGGTGGTAGACTGTACTGTATGTATGAGCCAAGAGGCCCATGGACATGTACATATTGTACCTAAAGAAAATTTTGTGATTATAGTAATAATAAAGCTTGATTGATTAACCACAATAAAGTAAATATTCACTATTACTGCATTGACCATTACTTTAATGTTCCACAATCAAAAAACTACAAGTAAAGTTACCAGTGCATTAAAGTTTTCATCATACATACATTTTAAAATCAAAACATAAAGACTCATCATTCATAAATGCTTACTGTCAAATGCAACAACAAATAAAGTTTTATAGAACGTGACTTCCCCTTTAGTAAAGTTGGTCACATGCTCACATTTTTCATAAAGCAATTCTGTACCATTTATACCTGCATGTTATCATCCTCTCAAGTAGCTAATAATCTACTTCATTCCACACCTTTAAATACGTCAAGACATACTTTTAAGAACAGAGGTGGAAAATGTACTTAAGTGCAACGTGGAGGTACTTTTATGCTACAATACTGGAGCATAATGTTGCATTAATTTCTTCACTGCATTTATTTGACACCCTTATTTTACACACAAAGCCTATGATCAGCCTGTAACATATAGATATGCATAGATTACAGGTACCCTGTGGAGCTTTTGACCACTAGTAGCACCATGGAGCAATGCTTTTACGAGTGTTTTGTTTGTGCATTAGGACACTGACAACGCAATACACCTTCCTGACTTTTTTCTGGCTATTTTGCTGATTGACAGTTGGTGGTGGTAACACACAAAGAAGACAAAGAAGGTGACTGCTAGCACTGGAATTTAAAATATTCATAAAATCTTTGTTTTTTGAGGATGAAATGCACTCAATGGGTTTGTTAAACCTCAAGGGTACAAACAATGCCTTATGAATGTTAACAAATTATTTGTTTACAAGAAAACGCAACAGGACACCTTTAATCTACCCAAAAGTATATAAAGTAGGTAATATTACCTCCTCCTCAACCAACAGGAAAATGCTACTTATATTAATGCATTCATCAGGGAGAGCTCTTAATACCTCTTCCACCTCTGGTTTCCATTATTATAGTGACTTTCTGTCCTTCAACCTTGAAGAAACTGCAGAATTTCCTTCAGTTGACTTTTCCTCAGCAAATATTCAATGCAGAGTAACCTGTTATGCACATTGCTTCAGTTGCTCCATATTTCATCAAACAACTCACTTTTGTCAGCTGATCTTTACTTCAGTGTCCTAAAATAGGAGAAAAACAGACATTATAGACATATTTGAATACTAAACCATTTGATAATTGTGGATTAAAACAAATTTGATTTGGTGACATTGTTGTACTCACTTACATTCAGCGCAATTTCTTGGATACAGTCATCCAAATAAATCCACCAATGATAAAAGACATCAGTGTGAAGAATGCTGCACCCAGTACTGTCCCCCTGTTTATCAGAGCTGGAAGACCAAAACTGTTATTAGTGAAATCAACACAATTCATCAACATAATTGTTACATGGCATTTAACTTTTCTCACTGTGAGCTCTAAACATTTTTTAACTTTCACTATAATTGATAATAATTACATGTTAGAATGTTACAAGGACAAAATGTACTTTTCATGTTAGTAGACCTATGATAGAAGAAGTTACATGTAAAGGTTGGTTCAGTCATTGTGGAGAAAGATAACTAATAATTATTGAGATCATTCCCAGGTCATGAAATACCGAAACTTTGGGTTAGGATAAATGGAAAGAGAACACACAACACAACAGGTTGCATTCATGCTCAAAGTGTCTAAAGTTAAGTATTAGATGACATGGGAATGAGACTCAACAGTGAACTCTCTTTCTCCACAATTACTGACACCATCTTTTAAATGTGAAAAAGAGACACATTTACATCATAGTGAAGTACTGATAAAAGGGTTCAGTGTTGGATTCTTACCTACAGGTTCTTCTTCTATCAGTTTAATTGCAGCATTGAAATCTTCACTGCTGGTGCTATTACCACCTTCCACAGGAGTCGGAATGATTTCGGGTTCTGCATCAGTTACAGCTGGGGGAGGAATTGTGACTGTTCCCTTTGGTAGAGGATCTGATTGGACAACTTCTTCTTCTGTGTTATCCTCTGGAGCATCCTCTTCTACAATGATAACAACGGGGTCTTCTGGAGCTGGTTCCTCACTAGTAGGTTCCACAACAACAATAACAACAGGCTCTTCTAGTGCTGTTTCTGTTATAGCTGCTTCCTCTTGACCTTCTTCTTCTGGTTCAAGTTCTGCATGGTCAAGGACAACCGATTCCTCTTCTTCTGGTGTAATAGGAATAAGTTCTTTGTTAGTGGGGTCCTCTTCTGCATTTTCTTCTGGGACTATTGGGACAGGCACCCCTGCAGCTTCTACTTCTGTATATTCTTCTAGAGGCTCGTCATCTGTTGCTTCTGGGGAAACTATAGGGATTGATTCTTCTTTAACTTGTTCTTCCTGCTCTGGCTGCTCTTCAACAGGGTCCAAAGGAACAATGACAACTGGGTCTTCTGGGGCTGACTCTTGTGGTGCTTCTTCCTCTGCAGCAGGGTCCACTTGAACTTCAGGCTCTATAGGAAGAAGGGCAACAGATTCCTCTTCGTCAAATGGACTTGGAAGAGGTTCTTCATTAGTAGCAGGGTCCACTTCAGCATTTTCTTGTGGGACTACTGGGGCAACTGTTTCTTCTTTTGCTTGCTCCTCTGGAGCTTCCTCTTCTTTTGTTCCTGAAGAAATAATAGGGACTGTTTCCACTTGTTCCTCTTGATCCGGCTCCTGTTCAGCGGGGTCCACAGGAACAATAATAGCAGGTTCTGGTGCTGTTTCTTCTACATCCACTCCCACTTGACCTTCCTCTTCTGGTATCATTTCTTCTATAGCCACCCTCACTTGATCCTCCTCTTCTGGTACTGTTTCTTCTATAGCCACCCTCACTTGATCCTCCTCTTCTGGTACTGTTTCTTCTATATCCACTCCCACTTGACCTTCCTCTTCTGGGTCAAGTTCTGCATGGACCAGGACAACAGATTCCTTTTCTTCTGGAGGCTCTTCATTTGGTGCTTCTGGGGAAACTATGGGGATTGCATCTTCTTTAACTTGTTCTTCCAGCTCTGGCTCCTCTTCAACAGGGTCCAAAGGAACAATGGCAACTGGATCTTCTGGGACTGACTCCTCTGGTGTTTCCTCTGCAGCAGGGTCCACTTCAGCATTTTCTTCTAGGACTACTGGGGCAACTGCTTCTTCTTCTTTTACTTGCTCCTCTGGAGCTGTTTCCTCTAGAGCAGGTTCCTCTTGACCTACCTCCTCTATCTCAAGTTCTGCAGGGACGAGGACAGCATTTTCCTCTTCTTCTGGTGTCACTGGAAGAGGTTCTTCTACGTCAGTATTGTCATCTGGGACTATAAGTAAAGGTTCTTCTGGAGCAGCTTCCTCTGCTGCATTTTCCTCTGAAGCTTCATCTTCTGAAGCTTCTAAAGGAATAATGGGGATCGGTACTTCTGGAGCTGGATCCTCCACATGGTGCTGTTCTGAAGACTCACTCTCTACAGCAACAGCTGGGGGAACTTCTTCTGAAGTTTGATCTGGAGATGCCTCTGCAATGGCAGCTTCTACAGGGACAGTTTCTACCTCTGAAGATTCTTGTGGAGCTGCAGCCAAAGGCTCCTGAATAGCTGTTTCCTCAGATATAGCTTCATCTGTGTCATCAGAGACCTGATCTCCGATGAAAACTGGTTCTGGTTGTATTTCAACAACTGGAATGTCTTCTTCAGCGGGTAATTCCTCAGGAGATGTTGCTTCTTCTGCAACAACTGGAATGAGTTTATCATGAACTGATTCTTTCTCCTCTATAAAGTGAATGTGGTTTTCAATTACTGGTGCAAGTTCCTCTGGAGCTGGTTCATCAGCCTCAACAAGAGAGTGAACAACTTTGGCAGCTGCAACAGAAGTTAGTGATTTAGCAACTATTTTGTATGTTCTTAGTCAACAAAGGAACCATTATTCACCTAAAATATTTAAATGAATATCAGTGTGCTTTAGTTGATAATGTTAATAAATATATAATATTATGCTTTTTTATACTTACCTAGAATTTATTAGTATTATAAAGTCATTCATAAATTAAATAAAGTTTTTTACATTTACATTCCATTGAGCTCAATTTGGTGCTATATTAGTTTGTACTTAAAAGCTAATTGTAATCTGAAAGGGTCTGAGGTTAAGCATCTCATTAAGTTTAGCCACTTTCCAAAAAGTAAATACCATAGTGTACTATAGTTCTGAAAACAGCATCAAATGTACTGATGGCTGATTATGTAACAGTTACGAAGATCTCCATAAGGCGGGTGTGCAGTGATCCAAGTTTAGTTCAAATGTCTCACAGGGAGCATGGAACTAACAGGCGCATGTGTGTCATTGAACAGGCCGTCAAAGTATTTTGAGATACAATTGGAGAAAGAGTTTTATTCTCGATTTACGTGGGTGACTGAGGTCAGTTCCCAAACTGAATACATATTTTTATTATTCATAGCTAGAAAACACCTAAAGCAATATTTGCCTTTCCCTTACTTTGATTCTTTTGACTCACAGGCAACCTATTATGTAACAACAAAGACAGGTTTACCTTATTAAATGATATATGCATTTACTTCTGTAACATGCTTCTGAATTAAGTTTGTACATTCAGCGTATCATTCAGTCATGTCATGTCATGTAACCATAAATAAACACATATTCATGAATTGTAACGCTAACAATCTGTTGAATTAGTTAGAAAATTGACTATTTCTAATAATTATGATAAATAATTATCACATCAAAAGAGTATAGAAGAAATGTTTGGCTTACGTATTGGTGCTGATGAGCATAGTTGAACATTTAGGACGACGGTCAGCAGCAGCAGAGAGGAAGCTTTGAACATGATGTCTGTCTTGAGTCCTTTCATTAGAGTCAAACAACTTCAAAATCTCCAATACAGCAGCCAGACCGTTGCCCCCACTGTGAACGAATATCCTACAGGGGTGAAGCACACGTGTCAGCGTGGACACATGTTGTGAAGTGACACACCATATGGAAATACTCTGAGGGTGCTTTGAGGGTGGGTAATAAGAGAAACTTACTGTGAGATCACATGGCAGGACTATACATCAGCTGTTCCTTATCCTGAATCAAAAACATTTTGAATACTTTCTTATAAGATTGCTTATGAAGCTCTGTAATGAAACAGACACATGAAGTTGAGAATATTGCAGTTTTTTTAAGAAGTATTTACATTTACAACAATCCACTTTTCCAATATTTAAAAAAATGTTTTGATTTACCATGTTCATTTTTGTTTCTCTATTTACAATTAAGGTCTTCCCTCTGTGAATACCGTGTACTAGAACTGCCCACTCATCCAGTATATGAAATATTTACTCAATCTCAACCTGTACCAGTAAAGAAATATTTAGAAATTTAAAGTTATCATTTGGTCAGTTTGAAGAAAAGATATACTACAATTTAAAATTCACACCAACTGGAGTAGAACTAGAAATAATATTAAACTTTCCTCCAGAAATGCCAAGCATCAATTCACAGATTATATTTATACCAAATGAAGTTGATGGGAATGCGAAGACATTTCTGTGGTAGGCATGGGTATATCTAATATTATAGGTAATAATATTAGCTGTTTACCAACTGTCCTACTTCTAAATGATTTCTGGCAGTTTTACAGTGACTGTACAAGACTGTATCTTAGAGGTCTGACAACAGCAGGAAAAGAAGACGCTTTCTGTAGAGGGGTTCTTGTACATTAACTCAAAAACATTGGTTACTTGGTTGGATATTGTATTCAGAACAAAGAGGAGCCAAAAAATAAATAAAATGTGACAATTTGGTCTGAAGTGACAAAAAAGGTGAACTACTACTATACACTGTTTGTACATATTTAAATGGATGTTTATAAAGCTGTATAAGCATATGATTTAGGCAGTGATGTAAAGCCCATATATTGTAACTTAGTGATATTTGTTCCATCTTAATGTGTTTGCATTTTTATTCATTAATATTTACTATTTGAGGTTTTCTCGTTTCATTAGTATTTTAAATTATATTTTGTTCAAAGGAGTTGCTCATATTATGACAGATGCCCATGCCCATGCTCTGGGTTTGGACAACAGCTACATCTGCTGATGATAACGTGAGACTGAAATAACATCCTGCCGTGTAATATCGACAGAAGTCCTCAGGAACAAAGCTCAAACAGCACATTAATCCACAGTGAAGTTACCATATTTTATTTCTTTAAGTGCCATTCATGCATATTGGGGAAGGGGGTGGGGTGGGCGGTGGTATCGACAATTCTAATAACACTTGAGTTATTTTACAGCACTAAACGAATACAAAGAGTAGCTGTGTCACCTCATTGGACAACAAAAGTAATAAACCGTGCAATAAACAAAAAAAGGACAAATAGGAGAAAAAAATACAAGAAATGACAAAGACAAAATAAAAAAAAACAGAAAAAAAAAAACACAAACCAAATATATATTATCAACACTGAAACACTGAATGTAGAACCATAGTACAGATAAAAGGTAGTGTCACACAAAAAGCCAACGTATTTTCATCACATATATACAATATAGATATATACATACTGTCACCCTCTGATTGGACAATAACAAAATACTCTATTCTTTTACCTCCTGTCTTTCGTGAGTAAGACCCACCCTCTGCCTTGATACCCCACCCCCGAGAGGAAAAAAGGGATGATTGAAAAGACATATATGTACAAGCACAACAACACACCAGCACTGAATAAAATAGGCCCCAATCAGCAGTACTTGTTGGCAGTTCTCTCCCACATTGTAACAAGGCTTTTTTTTTTTAATCTTTTCATCTTTTATCCCACTAATAGTAATCTCTCTGGCAGGTACATGTCCAGCGGAATTTAAAAACTTAAATTGTCTTTTGAAAAAAAACAAAAAAAACAAAAAAAACTTAAACTCACACAAGCAAACACACAAATACACACACACACACACACACAAACACACACACATACAGACATAATGTAAAATTGTGATTGTGATCCAGTCATTGTCTTCACCTTTTTCCCTTTTAGCCACATCCGTTAGCTCAAATCTTTTGTTTTCCCATGGGCTTTTGTGCTCAGATAGTAGCTTGTATGTTCATTTTCTTCACCTGGAAGAACTGAAACACACGTCACCTTCACACCAAGCAAGGACTCACAGGATGTTGTCTATTGTAGGTCCATAGAGTCCTAATGAATGCACATGGATGCTCTTTTTCACTGCTGTCTTCAGTTGCAGTCCTTTGGCCCACTCTCACCTAAAAGAGTCATGATTTGGGTCACTCAACTGACTAAGTATTCGGTCTGAGCACTAATTAAAAAATTCTGGCAGTTGAACAAAACTTTAAAAACTCAATAGTTTAGATCCACAGGCAAGGCATTCCTCCACATACAGCTTACATTTGATATACAAAGACAGACAAAATGTCGCAGAAAGAAGCAGGAGTGGACAGGTATGATTGGCAGGAAAAGAAAAGAAAAATATTAGCTGAAAATATAAAAATGAATGGCAGTATCATCGGTTGAAAGAAGAGAACTTAACTTAATCTGCACAGTCTAATAGAAGATCTACAGTATAAAACTGAGCTGGTTCTAACCGTGTGAGACTTGAAAGTGCCTTTTCTCACAATAACAAAGACATTATGCAATATCATAAAAAAGAATCCATGATTGTCATCCAAATATGAAATAAAAACTATGGAAACCACTGGAGTCCTTCGCTCCTAAATGATCTATCAGGAATTGTTGGACATTTTGGGAAATACACTTATTTGCATTCTTGTCGAGAGTTAGATGACAAGATGGTTACCGCTCTGGTATCTGTCGGTTAAATATGAAGCTACAGCCAGAAGTGAGCTTAGCTTAGCACGAAGAGTGACAACAAGAAACAGCTAGCCTGGCTAAATCCAAAGGTACTGAAGTAATTAACACGTTATATCTCCAGGAAGTGACTGAACCCGGCCAACAAACAGTCTGGCACATAACCCTCTGTAAAAACAATAAACTGTTTTTACACTAAGGTTTTTGTACAAATAAACAAATAAGATACAACGTGTTGATTAGTGAGATAAGAGAGGATTCTCGCAGGCTGATTTAGTTACCTCTGGATAGAGGCAGGCTAGCTGTTTGTAGTCTTTATGCGAACCAGCTGCTGGCTTCATATTTACTTTACAGATAAGGAGCGGAAGCTTTTTGACGAAAAAGCAAATTTCCCAAAAAGTTGATGTATTCCTTTATATGAGGACACACAGAATAGATGCAAAGCACCACACACAGTTCAGCAGTATTGCAGAGAGGAAAAATGATCTGGGTTCATTGTCAACTATGGACAATGCCTCACAATGGCCTCTAGGGGTCAGATAGTCTAACTGTGAGTGAATCAATAAAAGACATGAACGAGTATGTGAGTGAGTAACTTTTGAGATCCAGGAGGTGCTTTGCATCTTTAAAAAAGGTCACGATCAATAAAAAGGTGTAAATGTGCAAAGGGCGTTTTTTTTCTTTTTTTTTTTTTCCAAAACATAGTGTCTCTAAAGTTCAGCACCTGTCTGATTGAGGAGCCACTTGTTACAGGACACAGAGGACAAGTTTCCAGAACCGCTGATCTCCTTGTTCTGTGCTTGAGAAACCCTTCCCACAAAAAACGCATGTCTCAAATCTAGTCTTTAATCACTGTGTGCATCTGCTTTTGTGCTCATAGATAGTATAGAGATGATTGCAGCCATCAATCATAGCCCTAAAATTACAATAAAACCAAAACAAACACACACACACACACATATGCTCAACAAACAAACAAACACACACACACACTGTATGCACTGTATCATGAGTCACATTTGTCATTCTGTTATGATTGTAATAATAGCAAAATCTTACACTATCACAACAAAACATTGGGCAGTTAAAAAAAGAATTATATCTCCATAATTTAAATGCCAGAAGCACATAAACACTGACTGTAGCATTGGAAACTCACTTAGACGTACAACAGGCGGGGAAAAAAGGCATGAATTTGAATGTGACTCATTCTACAAATAAAAAAAAAAATGTACAGTAAAACTTTTTGCCCTTTTCAAATGTAAAGTTCAACATTTGATGAATATCCTATTGATCGTTAATCAATCAAATTATTAGGACATTTAAGAAGCTTTCACACCAGATTTTGTGTCTTTGGGAAGCTAGTATGTGAGCCCTCCATTAGTTTATTATAAAACATTTATTAGTCTACTAGTTAGTGAGGCTTTACATTTGTTTTGCTGCCACTAGTATAAATTATTATAATATGGTTTGTATACAATTACAATACAATAAAGTGTACTTTGTTTAAAGGAATAGTCAGACATTTTAGGAAATACTCTCACACATACTCTATATGGTAAATATGAAGCTACATGCAGCAGCCAATTAGCTTAGCTTAGCACAGAGACTGAAAACGGGGAAACAGCTAGCTCGAGTTTGGCCAAAGGTATCAAAATCAGCTTATTAGCACCTCTAAATCTCACCAACGTTAAATCTGAAGTTACTGCAACCAGACAAAAAGGTCCGGCACTTAACTCCCCGTAAAACCACAAACTGTTTTTACACTCCAGTTATTGTACAGAGTGAACAAACAAGATATACTGTGTCAACTATTGAGCTTTAGAGGTGCTGGTAGGCAGATTTTGTTACAATCAGACAGAACTAGGCTAGCTGTTGCCCCTTGTTTACAGTCTTTATGCTACGCTAAGCTAACCTGGCTGTAGTTTACTACCTTCACATTTACAGCAATGTCTTCTCATCTAACTCTTGGCAAAAAAGCAATAAAGCATATTTCCCAAAATGTCCGACTACGGCTTTAATAAAACCAAACCCCACTGACTTGAACCGTACATTTAAACAAAAAATTGCTTGGAAACTAGAGACCAAAGAATACTGGATTGTTTAGGCTGGTACCAATACCGATATTTGAAAGTTTAAAAGATCAGATAATGATATATCAGCTGATTGTTTTTGTTTGTTTAGCATAAACAAACAATTTCTTTAATATTTTTAAAGAGATATGATCATGATGTGTGCTGAGTGGGACACTTCACAGTTTGGAAATCGACTTCCCGGTGCTCTCTGGTTGTCAAACTCTTAACAAAGTTATTTCAAACATATCTGACATTTCTGTGCTGCAATTTATTGTTACATTAGGTGACATATGCCAGTATTTGACATATTAGTGATAAGCTAGTATCAGTCCATCCTTACATTGGCCTTATGAATATAGCAGTCAGATTAGATTAGAAATGATTATGTTGTTTCTGAATGACGGGTGGCTTGTTTAATGATCAATAGGCTTCTCATCTAAAACTGATGAACTTTACCATTAAAACTGGCTTGAAAATGTACATTTGTTTAGTATTTTAACGTTACAACAGCTTCTGATTGGTAAAGCAATTACTAACCGACATGATGCACACAGAGAACCTAAACCTGTTACTTTGGGTTGAATGACTTTTAAAAAGACAACAAAAATGTCTGGCTTCCCTGCTTTCACCTTCTCCTCACACTCATCATATTCACTCATCTTGAAGTGCTTGAGACAAAGAACTAAGAAAAAAAGTTGCTGTACTCCCATAACTAGTCTGTTGCAGTGAGCCTGATTACATTGGTTGGCTATGAAAACAGATCACAATACTTTATGTGATCTCTCTCTCTCTCTCTCTCTCTCTCGCTCTCTCTCTCTCTCTGTTGGTTTGTTTAATATCAAGCCTGCTTAAACATTTAACACCCTGTTCAAAACCTCACTTATTGTAAACCTAACTTTACCACCAATGCACTTGGGGCCCACTTTCTCCCAAAAGTGACCAACGAGCACCATCACATTACTCACAGAGACGGCCTGTGTTTCTCAAAAACTAAAATAAAACAAAATAATTATTTTAAAAAAGAGAGATAAACTCATCCAAGAGGCAGCTGAGGCCAATGTCAACACGAGAAGAATTACAAGCTGAACACGTCGCTCAAATCACATAACAGTTACAGAGCAGGGGGTCGGGGGGGAGAGGGGTTCGGGCTTTGGAAGGCTGCTGGCTAGGGACGGGGAGAGGGCTGGCTGAGGAGCTGAGGAGCATGTGGTTTAGACGTGAATGTGTTCTACTTGTCTCTAGACAAGTACATAAGCATCATCACTTTAACATGTCCGACTAAATATGATTGTCTTCAAAGTAACATTTTCTAGTTATGTTTTGCTTTTGTAAAAATGTCAGGACACTGTAGTCTGTCTTTCTCCAAAGCTTGTCAAAAGTTCTTCTGCATCCCACCCACAGTGGCCTCCTCCTCCTCCTCCTCTTGTGGCCTTTCAGCTCAGCCTGGCTTCCTCTGGCTTCCAACTCCTCTCCTCGCTCCCTTTTGTTTGCAAACAGAGGTCTAGGGGGCTAGACAATGGAGTCCCAATCAAAATCATCCTGGATGTCATCAGCTGGCATGCGATGCATCTGGAAGTTTCTGGTAGGTATCATGTGCTGCTGGTTCATCTGTGCATGGTGTCCTGGAAAGAGAACGGGAGGAAGGAGGAGTCAGAGGGAGTTTTTTTAATTAATGATCTGTAAATATAAGGTTTCCTAATGGCTGTACATAATTATTTTAATCATATTTTTCTCTGTGGCTTTTTGTCACCTGTCATTGTGGGTCCTGTGCTGCTCATGGGGGGCATGTGGGGATATCCTGGAGGACCCATCATGGACATGCTCTGTCTGGAATCCATGTAGAGATTTCCTGAAGAGAGAATCAGAACAAATCTTTATTTCAAGTATTAATTAAACAAGTAAATGCATCTCTTAAGATGCAATTTAAGCAACACATCTTAACAACTTTTACACAGCTGGACGAAGCTACCTGCAGAAGAAAAACAATGTTTGAACTGTTTCAAGCTTCACTGTGTTGTCAAAATACCTGTGGCTCAACTAAAAGAGTAAGTAATTCTTGTACCTTCATCTTTTTGGATTTTGTGAGTAATAGCACGAGTGAGTGGAGTTGAGTCACATTAGAGGACCTTCACAAGGTTTGTAGAGCAGAAAAAACCTATTTCTGCTACAGTGAGACATTTCTGTAAACTTTTGTTTTTTCCTTGTGAATTACTGAATATTTTTATCTCCTCAGGCCTTTAAAAAATTATGCAAATAAATTAAAAGAAAAGAAACCATTGTTTGATTTAGCTAGTAGACATATGCAGTTGGTAACGATGGGTTGTTTACTTTAAGGGTTAATCATTGACATAAACTGCAAGCAACAAGGCTCAAGACTGTTTGCACTTTCAGAATAAACTAAGGGAGATAAAATTCCTCAGACAATTGGCATGAGTATTATTTTTTTTACAGACTTTTTAGGTTTAGAGTTTAGAATGCATCCATATTCTTACAGATAAACAGTTCTATACACTGTACAATTACATGACATTTCCCAGGAGAGATAACAGGGAAACAGTGTAAATGCCTAAATCTCTCAAGATGCATGATGTAAACTATTTCCCTCCCATTCCAACCACTCAGCACAGCTACACAAAAGCAATCAAACTGTGTCATAAATAAGGTCGTAGGGTTACGAAGCGGGTTTTAACCTGTGTTGATGTGCTGGCTGGGTTTGTTGGGGTGCATGGAGCCATGACAAACAGGAGGCTGCACTGTCCCTTGTGGCTGGATTACACCTGTGCGGGCAAAAAACTGGTTGATGGACGAGCAGAGGTCTGCGATCTGGGTGGGTTCCAGGGACCAATTGTTCAACTCCGCTTGTCTCATACTCTCTCTTAATCCTTAGAAACATAAAACACAGATTTATAGACAGAACAACCAGAGTTACTATCAGAGCTAGTGACAGTGTCTGTCTGCACTAACATGCCTTTGTGACAATGAAATGTATGAAACTGCACCAGCCGACTGTCCAAAGAGTATAAATTTAGTAAATGAGAAACTAATTTACAAAGATGAAGCAAAATCTTTGGTTGCAATATGTATTCATTATGTCAGTAACCTTCAGTGGGTGATATTTAAAAACATCCTACCTTGCAATCCTAGACTGTAATTGGATAAACTGACCTGCTGAGCTCAGTGTTTTGGTAATTAAACTTGAAGGCAGTGTTATTTAATTGAAGAGCTCAGTTTAATTAAACTCATAATCAACTCCACAGTGTCAACACTTCAGCACTCAATCAAAAGCTGGGGCAGTACTGTACTATCAACTATCATAAACGTTTATTTCTTCTGTAATCTAGAAAAAATCCTAATCTCCGACAGATAAATAAAATAAATTATAGAATTATTACTCGCTTATTATTTGTAAATGCAATAAGGTCTATTTGTAGTGTCCAAACCGCACCTTGGAAAGGTGAAAGGTCGACATCAGCCCAGTTATAGCTGCTAGCAATACGACAGCTTTCTTTCAGTGCATCCAGATTTGGGTACCAGTCAGACAGTAAACCTGCAACAAACACACAGGATACTATCTGTAACATTACAAGATAAGAGATAAGAGACTTGAAGGATACAGATAAATTTGGTTCCAACACCAAGTTCACTCCGGGCATAAATACAGATTTAGTCCTAATAACATCATTTATAGACAACTGCACAATAATTGCTTCTGTAATTGTTATTTACTGTTGGTTAGGTAAGAAGGCCAGATGATGCATTTTCATTGTAGTCACATTTTTATAGCTGTGCAGGCAGTCTTGTAGTGCCAAATGAATGAGACGGTAAGACCAAATAAAACAGTTTATCAGGCTTTTAAACAGTTCAGCACCGTGTTGTGGCCACTAGGAGGAGCCAGTCGACTCTGTAAGAGCTGCTACAGTCACTGTATGCAGCATTGCTTTGTTCTCACCACAGCACAGATAATATCAGATGGTGATTTACTGTTTAGCACCTATAACAATTTCTCAATGCTTTATGACAAAAGAAATGAGGAATGACACAAAACCATATTGAGCTGTAAATATTTGCTTTTGTTGACGTGTCTGTGTGATGAACAGGATGAGAAGAAAACAACGAGACTGGTTCAAAGGAAGTCGATGACAGACAGAGGGTCTTACCTGTGTTGCAGGCCATCTGTTGCTGGGTAGGATGGGGCTGGTGGGAGAGGCTCTGATGCTGCGGTCCGTGTTGAGAGGGGTGCTGGCTGTGCTGCGTGTGTTGGGAGGGGTGTGGCGTGTGTTGCTGTGGGTGCTGGCCGTGGGACGGGTGCTGCGATGGGTGCTGCCCGTGCTGGGAGTGTGCAGCGTGCTGGGGGTGCTGTGGGTGCTGTGGGTGCTGACTGTGCTGGGCGTGTTGGTTGTGTTGGTTGTGGGGGCCGCCGTGCTGCGGGAGGTGCTGTGCGTGCGGCGAGCCGTGGCCGGGGTGGGCTTGGGCAGGATGGGACAGGGGCACCTGGCCACTGTTGGCGGAGTGGCTGTTGGGGTGATTGTTGGGTTGGTTGTTTGACAGGCTGTTCTGAGTGCTAATGGTGCCACTGGGGGAGTGCTGATAGGAGCACGAGGTGTGGGTCTGCTGGGAGGAATCTGACGGTATGCCCATCAGACCTGGGAAAGAAAACACACCAACAGCTCTTAATAGTGCTGAAACGAATTGTTGTTGACGGACTTGTCAATCGACAGGAAATGATGCAAAGAATTATTTTAATAATTGCTACAACAAATGTCTCATTATTGATTTACCTGGAGATATTTTTTTCCAGTGAATCGATTAGTTGTATCTTGTATCTTATCTAAAATGTCAGAAAATTATGACAAAATTGCCCATCAGATTTTCCCAGAGCGAAAAGAGCAAAGTGGCATCTTTAAACATCTGCCTCTGTCAAAAATCCACAAATATTCAACGTACAATTATATAACACTGAAGATGCTGGAACAAGCAAATGGCTTTTTCTTGAAAGATGGCTCAGACGATTATTTGATCGTCAGAATATTTGCAGATTCTTTTTCTGTCAACTGAATAATCGTTTATCATGCAAAACACTCGCATGTTCCAGCTTCTCAATTGTGAGGATTTGCTGTTATTCACAGTTTCTTATCATTTTAAACTGAATATATTTGGGTTTTGACTGTTTATTATTACAGAACACATCACCTAGGGCTCTGGGAATCAGTGAATCTAAAAATAATTGACAAATTAACCGATAATGAAAGTATCGGTTAGTAGAAGCCCTAGCTGGTGAAACGAGACTACTTATTCCAACACAAATGTCACTCACATGGTTTCAGACTGAGGTGTATTAGTGTAATGCACTTCAGCACAAACACAAAGAGAGTCCAGGTCTTTACATGTAAAACAGCTACTTAAGGCCTTGTATTTTAACATCTTACATTAATGGGATCTGGGCCTCCCGTGTTTAAGTAGTTCTACACTTGAGACAGACCAGCTGCCATTTTGTTGTATCAGGGAATGACTCAGCATTAGTTGTGTCTCTGAGGTTCACGAGCCAGAGCTGCCGTCGTCTCTCCTCTCCAGCTACACAGCTCTGGATTGTCTTTGACAAATTCATTGTGCTGCTGCATGACTCTTTAACAGACATGACTGGAGCATGAACATCTGCACACCCAACTGCAATCATCTGAGTGGCAGGGAGTGGTCTTAAGAGGCCCTGTCCTTCACAGCTTTGGCACAGTAAACCTATTTCACTGGAGTGCTTTTAGAGCTGACTCTAGCCCTGCACCTCCACAATCGGCACGTAACACTCACTGCAGGGGTGACAAAGGTGCATCTCTTATCGGCACAGAAAGCCCATTGTCCAACCAGGGAAATACAGAAAGCAATTAACGTGGCACCAGAATAATAATGCGAGCTCATTACCTATTATCAAAGCCAGTGAATTAGCTCACTGTCTACCACGGTAGAGTGTGAAATCCTCTAGCTCGATTATTTACGCTTTTTAATTGCTAGAGCTTGTCTGACTAAGAGATTTCACTTTTATGCGCATAAAAAAGGTAACAACTTTCAACTAATGAAACATAGATGGTAGATTAAAGGAGAGGAACTCTTTGAAAACATTAGCATGAAATGCATTTGATTTGTGAAAGTAGGTTATACACAGAAAGCTCAGTCTACTTTGCTCATAACCCGCTTGTCAAGTGCTCTTTGTTTATCAGTCAATCAGATTACAAGCAAAAATGCATTTTGTTCTGCGGGGTCTCGCAGGCTTTTGGAAAGCTGCGCTCTATCCACTGCTATGTATTATATCATACAAATTCCTCATCATTATGACAAATGAACCTCAAATCCAACAGATTTACTGAGGACTTGGGATGCCTGTAACCTCTTCCACTCCTCTGATGAAACAGCCTACATTTCAAACATGACAAGATACAGAAAACTTTCATGTAATTTGAAAAATATAAAGCAAGAAGGATGGTGTATTAATTCTGAATAACCATTAAATAAATGCAGTAAGATCTCTTTACATCCTCTAATTAAATATTTACGGCATGAACTCTCCGACTCTGCTTTTGAATATGAAATTAGGCTTTTTCCACATTGCTCTGGCAAAACACCATGGAAATGCTACACTGTAATACAGTACACTATAGGCTAGTCAGCCTGTTGAATACCTGCTCACTTCTCAGTAAACCTAATTAGTGCCTAAAGACTCTCTACAGCCCCAGCTGTTAAGAACAAATCCACATTAGGAAAATCGTTCTGAGAATCTTCCTGTTCCTTGATAAATGAAGCTTAGGCTCTCTATTAGGTTTCCACTTGATGCTCCCGTGAGGCCACTCACCTTGTTGGCTGAAGGACTGCTCAAAAACAGACTTGTAAAGGCTGCGGAAGGAGGCACTGAGATCTTCAAATTCAGAGAACAGGAGCTGTTTATCCCTGTCTGGCATATTGTACTGGGACTGGGGGGGCTGCTGGAGGCTCATAGACTGGGACACGGGCTCTGGATGACTGGTCACCTGGAGAGATGAAGAGATAAAGAATGCTAAAGATTTACAAAAGCAAAGCGCAATATTGAGTGCAAAATAGGATTATGTTTAATGTTTAATCTGTGAAAGATTTTGTGAGAGCACACCGGCTACAGTTCAGCTACATCTGCACTACATACAACAGGGACTACTGATGCTAAGATAAGTAATGTTCAAACATACACATCAATAATATACATACTTTTCAAAGACCCCCTCCCTTGCTTATCTGGTCATGGAGCCGCAAAAACAGAAAACATAGAAACCTCTAGAATATTTAATGTAAAGTGGTGGTTTATGTGAATGTACACAGCAAAAGTCAAATATGAGGATGGGTCGATTCTTCTGAAGAGCCACGGTAAAAATGTTGTTTCTGTCTGAAAAGGTGTCAGTCACACAGCATGTAAAGAACAATTACACAAACCGCAACAATCTAGGTTAGTGCTTACCGCCTTGGCTCACATAACATTAAGAGACCAACTCGAACGGACACAAACCCAATACTCAGGTGGCCAAGCAAAATGTATTTAAAACAAAATCAATAGCAATACCTTGTACAAATAAGCAACCATTTTATCCATGTATTTGTGTGGGCAGTCAATGTTATGCACTGGACCTGGGTGTGACATAGAAAGCCGTGTTCCCTCCAGCAACGAGTTTGTCTACAAGATTCATCACAGCAAGGGCAGTGATGCAAAACCATCGCTATTTCACAAAGCAGGACCTGACCTGTGTCCACTGTGGGCTAGCATTACAAGAGAGGTCACGTCCAATTTTTGATCATAACATCTTCCTCTTCCAAGATGTGGGCAGGCTGCTGAAGTGCACGGCTCACAGTCTGGCTTGGGTAAGAGTGAAGAGGTGATAATAAAGCCAGAGTGTTTACTGTGAGCTGCTGCTTTGGCTGTGAGAGAGAGAGAGAGAGAGAGAGCACATCCATCAGGCTGAGCCGATCGATGCCCAGAGCCTGGAGCAGGGAGCACTCTAGGATGCGCGAGGACCACACCAAAGAGGGGGCATCTCTGGTGGGAGGACTTCAGAAGAAGCGCTTCTCTTTGTCTGGCTTCCAGGAGCGTGCACATTTTTCTCTGTTTCCCTTAACCCCCTTCCTGATGTTGTACTCTAGCGCATGTCCACCGTGAACCTCGGTCTATTGCTGTCTACGGCTGAGCTCCTGTGAAGAAAGCCTCCTGGGGCTTACCGATCAGATGAAATATGGGATACAGTACACTTTCTAAGTCTGGCAGCATTTCATTTTCATTCATTTAGTGACTGCTGCTCCCCCACAGCTTGAAATATGTGAATACAATGAGAATTTATCATTTGGCCTTCTGGTGCAATAAATAAATAAAATCATCAATTACACTACATTTATATAAATATCTTGTTAGAAATATCCAACTAAGAGACTTTCATGAGCTGCAACATTGACAACCAGAATGATCATAAACCTCTTTTCATCCTTTAAGGCACTGGTTCCTAACCTGAGGGCAGGGACCCTAACTAGGGGTCGCAAAAGCTTCACAGGGGATTGCGAGGCCTTCGTGATTGAAGGGGTGAAGGGGTGTAAGAAAAAATAAAAATATATACACAGTAGGCCTTTATCTTGGCATTTTGTCTAATTCTGTAAAGGAAATTGTTTTCTTAGGTAGAATGTATGTTATACAGAATTGTATAAAAAACCATCAGAAAACACACCTCTAATGTAATATTTACAGGAAATAATCTGCTCAAAATTCATTCAAACTGCTCCTTTTAACAGTTGTTCTATACTGTAATATCCATAAAATAGTCAGGGCTCGTCAGTTTACTCAATGATAGAAAAGAGGTCCTTTAAGGAAAAAGGGTTGGGAACAACTGCAACGTCTACATGATGCTAGATGCTACAGCAGGACCTTATTTGTTCTGTCTTCGTACCAGGTGTTGATTGATGGGTGCAAAGGAACCAGAAGTCTTCACAGGTCCAGTCAGTCATGTAACTAGACCTGCCCCGGGACTCAAGTTGGATCAGGTCCAAACTATATGCAATCTAAATGGGTCGGGTAGTCTGTCTGTCAATATGGATATGGATCCCGGTGAACTGGCGATCACCTCTCATTAATTAGTGGTGCGTCATGCTGCTGCCAGTGGCAGTGTTCTCTTCCTATTTGGATGCATTCAGGTCCATACACATTTCGGATCGGATCTCATCATCCTCTGGTATTCTCATATTGGATTTATTTTTGGGGCATGATATGCATTTTTACATTGCGATCAGTTGAGAGATGGTGAATGACATGCAACAAATGTCCCCAGCTGGACTCGAACCGGGAACACAGCGGTTCACAGTCAATGCCCTAAAAGGTGGAGTCAGCAAAGGAGAAAGACTGTTGATATCTGAACTCAACAGCCGTGTTGTGGAGTTCAGCACATTAGCATGTGTTAGACGCATCGTCCCTGTTGATCCCACTGCCCCCTTTTTACCCCATCTCATCTCCCCTTCCCCCTGTCCTGTGCACAACCATGAACGCCCCTGTTGCTGATTGGCTGGAATAGTGTTGTGTAGCTCGGTCTGAGCCACTTTGTTTCCCGTTTACATTTAAAGGAATATACTTGAATTGGATGGATTAGAATCGCTGACTGTAGCTTTAACTTATTAATTTAGACACGTTGGGTTCAGGTAGATTTTCCACAGGTCAATTTTAGATTGTGTCCAGATTTTCACACACGCAAAGACCTCTAAACTGTAGTTATGTCCCTGTGAAGAGTGGTCTTACCGGTGTATAGCTGTGCACACTGCCCACACTGTTGAGATTGACGGAGGCCAGACTCTGATCAGACAGGCTGTTGTTAAGGCTGCTTCTTGGACTATCGCTCCCTTCTTGGTCTGTGTTGTACAACGCCACCTGAAACACATACATGTAAATTGGTTTATTCTTTCCCATACACACATTAACATTACCAATGTCCTCTTCACACTCGCTGATGGTAGAGCATGTCAGCATTTTTCTGAGATAATGGGTATGAAAGGCAATGTTGGTCTATAGTTAAGCAATGTAATTTAGAATGGAAATGTAAAGCCTGAGCGTATGTGTGTGTGTGTGTGTGTGTGTCTGCGGCATGCAATGACATGTCATAAGCGCAGGGTACTTTCTTTTCACTTTATTGAGAGTGTGTGTGGGAGACACAGGGTGCTGCTGAACACCCACCGCAGTCACTGAGGGGTTCCAGTTGAATGTGTAAAGGGGTCTGGAGACAGCTGAGACATTCCCATCACTAAAGGTCACACTACTGGCGATGTCAGCCACATCTGCTCACCAAGCGCAAATCCGTTTGGGACAGCTAACAAAGGATTTCAGTGCAGCCGAGACACTGACCTTTCAATATAGCAGCAAAACTAGCCGAACCACTTCAGGACGACAATCTTAATTATCGTCTAACAAGGTTTAGTCCTCCCACCCTTCCCAAATAAAGTGCGCCGTCAGACAATTAAGACAATAGTAAGAAGAACGATCCAGATAATGAAATTAATGATACCCACAGAGAATTGCCCATGTGTTGAGTTTTGTATTGTGAGAAAGGAATGGCAGTAATGCACTGATGGTGTTGCAGTGGAAGAGGCCTGGCATTCTAAGATTGGTGTGTGTGCATGTGTTTGTGTGTGTCTGTCCATGGCTGAGTGCAGCATGGTGGCTTCTGCTCATCACTGTGAGTGGAACAGAGTGGGCTCTGTGCTCAGCACAATGAGACAGCAGTGGCAGCAGCCTTCAGGCAGGCAGATTGGCCCGGCCCTGCCCAGCACCGTGCCTCTCAGCAGCAGCAGTGGACTGAAGCCTCTTGTCTTTCTGCTGAGGCTCAGCGAGCTACCACAAAGGCCACAAGGAGGCAAGGAAACCCAGGCAGCTCTGAGTGCTTTCTCTGCTCTTGACTGATTGGCCCACTGACTAACATGCTGGTACAAATCCAGGACCCACACATTCAGAGTGAGACCGTCCGATCATATTAAGCTTTTAATATGGAGCTTGGCTCCTGAGCTGGTACAATGAGGTAGAAATACTGCTATTAAAAAAAAACACACAATGCTGAATCCAGGCAACACTGTAGAAGGAAGATGGGTGAGGCTGAGAGAGAGGAGAAACGGGGGTAAGTAAGAGAGGCTCATTAGGCAACTCTAGCCTTCCTCCACTCAGTGTGGGCTTGGCTCCAGTGTTCATTAGCGTGAAGGGGAACTCAATGAGCAGCTAAGACTGAAGGCTTAAGCACGTCCACAAAATCAACCCTACAATGCTAATCAAAAACAGCGCGGCACAAAAATATAAATGTTATGTGTAATGAAGTCATAAAACGGGCTTTTAGCCTTAAGTCTCTCACCGCAATCTATTTTTACTCTACTCACCCATAAAGTGTGATGATTTCAAAACCTCACTGCTCTGTGGTTTACGCAGACCCCAGAGTCCCCTGAGTGAAGACACCCACTCAAGCACACACCCTCACAGACAAACTCCCAGTCACATCTCACCCGCACGTAGAAGCTTTCACAAACATATGACATACACATACATTGCTACAGCTAGATGTGCACAAAAGGTAGGATAACACACACACACACACATACAAAAACACACAGACAGAGGCAGGCATGCTCATACAGGCAGGAGCAGCTCCACAGTAAATACTGTGTACGGTGTTAGCTAGCAGGCAAGCGAGTCAGAGTTCTATTCTTAGCAGTGAATTAAGTAAAAAGCCAGAGGTGTCTTTTACATGGGGGCCTAATCTGGAGCATGAGACATGGATTATGAAATCAAAGCAAGATTGGCCCAGGTGTCTCCAACAATGCCAGCTAGTGTTCAGCACAATCCCTGCATGCAGGATTGAAAAGACAGGGAGAGGCAGAGGAAGGGAGAAGGAAGGGATATGAGACAGAGAGAAGAGGGGAAAAAGGACAGACTATTTATCAGCAAACACACTTCCAACAATCCCCTCTTTTGCTTCATCATCACACTTAAGTGCCAGAGTTTCATCACATCCACGCCAATGTTTAGGGCCATCTCAGAACACAACCTTTGGAGGGGGGCGGGAGAAGAAAAATCTGGGTCTAGTGTGTGAGAAAGTCACAAGAAAAAGAGGGATCTTGCGAGGAATGTCTGACGGGAGAGAGAAAGAGAAAAGAGATTATTGCTGGTTCAGTAGTCGTCTTGCCAGCGTCTCCCATTGGTCTATCGGAGAAGGCGGGAATGAGGGAGAGAGACTGGAATAGAAAAGGAGAGAGAAAAACAGAGAGAGGGAATTCCTGTGGCTTGGCACACTGCACCGAAAGAGGCGTGGCCTGTTGTGTGTTTACAGTGTAAGACAGTGAGAAACAAGCTCTCTCCGAGGAGTTTGGGCCTCAGATCTGTTGCTATTACACTTTGTCTTCTGTTCACTTTACCACCGTAACAGTTTTTGTCACAATCAAGTGAACATAAAGAGGCAAATCAGAACTCGTTTTCATCAGCTCTCGGAATCACACAGTAGTCACATTTTGTGCTGTTTTAATGTTTTCTGCTTGTTGCTTTTCTGAGTTATTTGACTGGAGGTATTTGATGGCAGGAGTCCAGACTTTAAACTGTCAGCTCTTTACATTAGGGCCTCATTATGCTGTCACTGCTGGCGGAGACTGGTGCTGCGGCAAGTGCTTGTTTGTGGCAATCAGAGAGGAAAAAGGGTCATCTTTCTCCACACTTAGGTCTGTGAATCTGTCTGCTACAGCAACATGAAAAACTGCATGTTCTCCATAGGAGCAGCCGCTAGCTACTCGCCGTTGACACACGCGCCAAAACAAGCTGAAACATACTCTACATACATGTACACACAAGCTATAACACCAGCTGACATATGCTTTGACTCCTGTCACACACACACACACAC